TCGGGCTAGTCTGGAGAAAAGAAAAAGAAGAAAACGCAAACGACAAATGCGCCCAACCGTGAATCAACTGAAATATCGAAAAACAATGGAAGACCCGTTGCAAAGCTTTTCGTTTTGAAGCATTGTTTAGTTGCTGGTGTTGCCTTTTTTGAGTGAGCGGCCATTAATCAGCCCAGTGTTTCGGGAAAGTTTAGTAATTGTGTTTTTTTTAATCTCTTTGCTTCGTTGTTAATGTTTAATAGTGATTTAGTACTGATTTTTTAAAACACTTTTTTAAATACTGATTTTTTAAGCCTTTTTTTTACTTGTTGAGTTTAACCAGAATTATAAACCCACTTCAGTGGGTAGTTATCAGAGTTATGAACCCTCTTCGGTGAGTAGTAAGTTTCGTGTGATATATTGAAATTTTTAAAGATCCGAACACGGAATTTTTAAGGATTAATATCGGAAGAATTTACGGTTTAGCTGAGATCAAGACGTTTCGGTCTATTAAGTCGCATACATCTTAACTGTTACTTGCTCAGTGACTAGTGCTCTTTATTAGACTAACATAACCATACGTTTTTGCTTTAAACTATTTGGTAGGACATGCTGTCATTCTTCTTAAAATTCTTCCAGGATTTTGTATCTTTGTAATAATGTATTTATGTAGGCAAACACATACAAGGAGAATTTTGCTCTTACGTTTTTTTTTAATTAATTTACGCATAAAAATCAACACTAAATTGAAGAAATGGAAAATTTTTGGAAAATTTTTCTCGCTTATCTTCCAGTCTCATTTTTATGCTATTGTTTACATGATTCTGTTTTATCAATTAAAAGTGAAATTCGGCGTTTTAGAAAACCCCCTGTTTAAAATTCTTTCTGAGATTTTATAACTTTTATTTTTGTAATTCCTGTGTGATTAATTTTACTTTGGTTTGTTGAATTTGATAAAATTTTGAACTTTTCCTGTTCTTTTTTTTGGTTTTTTCGACATTTTTGCAGTCACTGGCAAACTTTTTTGCACTTTATCTTAATATAAGCTTTGTGATGATCACTTATTGTTTACTGAAAACCATGCGATTGTTTTATTTGGTTTTGCCAATTCAGTCCCGATACTACGAATGATATTAAGTTGATCATGCCCAGGCAACTGGTAGTGACTGTAAAGAACAGTATTTGTTTTGCGGATAACATTGTACCTGTGCTCCTTTGTACGAGTTTGTAGAGTTCGTCTGATCTGACCCACGTACTGTATGCCACAAACTCTACACGTAATTACGTTGCGGACGACGTAGTTCTGGTTAAAGTAACTGGGAAAGTTCTTAGGTGTTTAGCTGGGGAATCATATTTTAAATTGTAGCTGCTGATCGAAATATCTACATTTTTTTAAACGTTCGCGAACTGAGCTGATACTGCAGGTATGGTATGACTTAATTCTCAGTACTTTTAGGGTTTTTGTGTACGGGTAACGAGGATTCGTTGTGTACCTTGTATGGCGATGACATCCAAAGTTGAAGCAAAAAGCCGTTATGAAAAAGTCAAGCATTTAGGTGAAGGACAGGTCAGTTAAATTTTCCTCCAAATTTCGAGGAAACACAAAATGACATCTCCCGCTTGAATCTGGATTCGCTATAGTTTTACCCCTTGTTTTCAACCCTTCTGGATCGGTATCTGGACTTGTTTTCCACAGCCTTATTGATTTTATTTTTTTTTTGGAAGGGGCAATTTTTTGGGTAGTTGCTTGGGTAATTTTGTGGCTAAGTTTAATGTTTTTGTGATAGGATTTGTTTTTTCTCTGTGTTAGGATTTTGAACATTTCCCTGACCGAACTTTGCAATTGCTTTTTTCTCCAAGAAGTTAGCCTTGACCTACACAAAACAGTTCTGGCAGCGCAAGGGACACTTCCTGTCTACCCCTCCCTCCTCTCCTCCTTCCCCCTCCATCTTCCCCTTCCTTTTTATGCGTCTTTTGCAGCAATGCAATGCGAAAAACGCATATTGGCGAGAGGTTGTCTGTGTGTGTGTCTGTGCGTCTGTGTGTCTGTGTGTGCGTCTGTCACGGTTTTTCATCTCAAGACCTACAAAAACTACGGGGCTGAAATTTTGGGGAATTATTCTATATGCGCTTACAGGCCTCAATCTCCAAAATTGGCGCCATACCCTGCGTGGTACCCGCGTACGGGCCCTCCAAAGTTTTTTCGAGTGAGTTCATAACTTGGGGATCTGAAAAGCTAGAAAACTGAAATTTTAAGGGATTGTTCCCCGTCCAAGTAGGTACTAACGAGCTCAAATCCAGCCCCCGGGTAAGCGTGGTACCTGCGTACGGACTCCCCAAAATTTTTCCCGTGCAAATTCATAACTCGGGGTTCTGAGATGCTAGAAGGCTGAAATTTTAGGGGAATGTTCTCCTTCCAACTAGGTATTAATGCAGTATGGGTAAACGTAGTACCCGCTTGCGAGCCGCCAAAATTTTTTTCGGGTAAGTCCATTAACTCGGGGATCTGTGAAGCTAGAGAGCTGAAATCTTAGGGGTGTTCCCTGTCCAAGTGGGTATTAGCGAGTTCAAACCTTGCCCGCGGGTAAGCGTGGTACTTACGTACAGGCCCGTGAAGGTTCCTTCCGGGTAAGTTACTTACCCGAGAATGTGAGAAGCTAGAGGACTGCATTTTGAGGGGATGTTTCCTGACAGTTCTGGCGGCCAGTCTGGAATTCTTTCAACTAGAAGCATCTGCCGAAAAAACCGATGCCGATAGCGACAAAAACTGCGAGGAACTCTGCAAAAAACGCATCTTCGCACGGGTAGCCCATGCGTTGGCCAATTATTTTATTCACTCCTCTCGCTTTTTTAGACCCCGTCACGGTTTGATTAAAATGATAAAATGCAGAAGTTTGTTTCAGTTTGCTAACGTTTATAAGGCGAAGGATGTTGAAACGAATGAATTTGTTGCTATAAAAAAGGTTTGCTGCTCTTTTTTTTGCTAGGGAGTCTTGTTTTCGCGCATTACCTGAAGCGCTTTTCTTCCGCTAAAAGTCAGGGATTTAATTCTGCTTGAGGGACAGACCATGAAATTTACGATTTACTCATTCGTGTTAATTAATAAATTGATGCTTACGTCGGAGGAGAAGGGAGGGGCAGGCAAAATCACCATGAATTTTCTAAACCATCCTCGGATGAGACTTATCAGTGGATGTTTGTTTTTAACACGTGCTGCCTGCTGCCGGAGCTAAGCTCGAGCGCCTCAGCATCTCATTTTAGGAGCGAAAAAGGGAAAAGTTTGGGATTCGATATGTTTCGTTAATAATTTCCAGTTGAATACACCATGTCAAGCTAGTAAATGCCAGCAGTTCCAGATCGGGGAAGGCGGGTGGGGGAGAGGGAAGAGGAGGGGAGGAAAGAGGACGAGAGGGGGGCAAGGGATGGGAATTGATTTCCTGTTGTATTCCTAATGAAATCCGTCTTTTTTCAGATAAAACTTGGTTCTCGGCAAGAAACACGAGATGGTGTCAATCGGACAGCGCTGCGGGAAATTAAGCTTCTTCAGGAGCTCCATCATGACAATATCATCGGCGTAACATTTTCTCTTATCCTTAATCATCGTACGAATTTCTAAATTCTTGACTTTTGAGGATATTGTTAGTTCGATCAGTGCAGTTTTTGAATTTAGCAGGATTATTTGCGCTGTCAATCTTTTGCAAGGCACGGGCAATGTCCAGCGTTTCTAAAAATAGTTCCATTTTTACAAAACCATCGATGGTTCCCCCTTCTATGGAAGCTGATAAGAGTTTCTGCTCGGTTTTATGCTTCTGTACCAGTTTACCATCGAAACGAATGAATGAATCGTAGAGGAATTAATCATTCTACCATTATGATTGTGACTGTCTGTGGTACTTTTCATCACTACGCTTATCTGCACGTTTTCTGCTGCGTCTAAGAGTGATGGGAAAAACAGGCGTAATTAGAAAAATAAAATCACCTTACCACCATGCTAAACAGTGAGAGGTTTACTTGGCAATGAAAAAATCCCATCGTAAAAGGACTCCCCTCCTTGTTTGTCACGGTACTGTACTGTGACGGCGTGAGATTCGACTATAAGGCCAAGCACTGCAGCGAGAAGACGAAGATGGAGACGAAACTGGCACCAGCTTGCGACAGCTGATTTTTTTGATTATTGGCTCATAATCGAATGCTTTCTTTTGTGCTTTTTAGCTTCTGGATGTATTTGGACACAAAACAAATATCCAGCTCGTATTCGATTTCATGGAAACGGATTTGGAGCATCTGGTCAAGGATACGGCGATAATTTTGATGCCCGAACATATCAAAAATATGGTACTTCAGATGCTCCTAGGCCTGGAATATCTTCATTTACATTGGGTGTTGCATCGTGTAAGTCCTTAATTTGTTACATTTATGCTATTCTGAATGTTGGATACAAGCAAATAATAGCCTGGAGATCGATTTTTTGGTTTAAAAGAGAGAACGAACTTATGGACGGGCAAAATGAATTTTGACGAAATTAAGCATATACGGCTGGGCAGAGCATGTAACATACGGTCAAACGACACAGTGGATATGAGATCATAGTCCCTCTACATGAAAGTTTTTTAGAAAAAAATCATATGCACGTAATTTTCGCTTCTCCCCTTGGATTTTTTCTTTTTTCGCCTTGAAATTTTGCTCAAAACAAAGGGTGAATGTAATTTATTTTGCCCTGTTTCCACGCAACCCATAGCAATAGCTGAATTCTACTTTCATCTGTTCTTGGTTCTAGATATTTTATATATATATATATATATATTCATTTATATGCTGCTTGTTTGAAACTATTGCTTCGCAAAGTGCAAAAATGATGCTTGAGCGTAGGACGTAAAAAAAGTGGCAACGAATTCTAGGATCTGAAGCCAAATAATTTGTTGATCAATACACATGGACGCATCAAAATTGCCGATTTCGGCTTGGCACGATTTTTTGGCTCGCCTAATCGAAATTACACGCATCAGGTATGTGCTTTTGTGCCATACGTAGAAAGACATTTTTTTAAGTTTTCGAAATTGCTCCCACTTATTGCCACGTAGGATATCCTGCAAGTTATAAACCCTGTTTGATGACTAATTGTATCATATCTAACGGCAACGACACAAATGTGGCACACCAAAGTCACTTCTCATGATAGTTTCGGGTTGGCTGGGCTGGGAGCCGATCAGTAGTGATGGCGGGAA